TATGGAAAATAGATCTGTGTCCTCAATACCGACTTGCTTTCCCATGAAAATCTGTGTGTTTAATAACAGTTAATAAGTAGAATTATATTTCTACTAAATGCTAAATTCCAGAGCCAAAAAATTAAAAAAAAAATAAAGAGATAGCCTCATTTATTTTTCTCAACTGATTCAGAATATGCCAGTGTTCAAATGAGGCCTGGAATTGATATTTACCTTTACATAATCTGGAAAAGTTAATTTGATAAGAATTAATAGAATAAAATGTTTCAAGGAAAACTATTTTATTTACTATGTGAAGCTCAAATCTAATATCTGAATATGCTATGTTTATTTCTGCTCTCACTCATTCCTTATATCCAAACTCCAAAGTAACACTATCCCTAAGATCTTAGAAGATTCTGAATAGGAAGTACATGTCGCATCATTCATTCATTCATTTATTCAGTTCTCATTCATTTATTTATTCAGTTCATTTAACACCTACTTTATTCTAGGTACAGTGTTTACCTACTCAGTTCCTCTTCCTTTCACTTCTCACTCTGTTGAGTTTTTGAGCAACCACATTATTTGTTCCATTCTTGAAGCTGCTGACATGTTCTAGAATTTTTTATTGACCTAACAAGGGACTACAGAAGCAAACAGATAGGATAATTAAGACGCACCATGAAGGCAGCAATTTAATATGGAATGTTTAATTTTCCTAAAATGCCCAGACCACACAGCTCTCACCTGCATCCTTGTTTTAGGGTCTTGCTGGCTCTAAACCTATCTATGTCTACTCTGTGCTGAGGCTGCTCTTTCATTTAGATACTCTTTTCTAGGTTTCTCAGGTCCCCAAATCCTTTACTCTGTGAGCAGTAACGAAGATGTAAAATTCAAATAATTTTTCCTATATTTCTTGTATAAGATGCCATATATTTTTAGACAAATGAATTATATAGTAACTTTTATTGGGAAAACTAAAAAAAAAAAAATGTGAATTTAAATAGCAGCTAGCTTTTATGTTAGTGATTTTGTTTGTGGTTCCCATTACACAAATTGTTAGCTTAACAAGTTTCAACAATTTTCAAATCACCAAATTACTTACAAAATATTTGCCTGATAAAAATATTTGTATCAATGTGCCAATCAGCGATCAGCAGTCTTTGATGTCTAGTTATAATTATTTGCTATAAGCAATACAAGTTTATCTGAGATACATAATTTATGTTGTTAATTCAAACTCTTTTCATCTGGTTGTATACATTATCTATCATTATTGATTGATAAGTTCTCAGAAATAAATGGAATAGCAGATTATAATGGATCTTAAAATTTCTACATTCTACCTTTCCTTCTATTTCTGAGAGGTTTATGTTCTTTGGGGGCAGAGAGAAGAGTTGTAAAATGAGAAACACATTAGCAAGAGCCAGGCTACAGTTTCTTTCTTCTTCTTCTTCTTTTTTTTTTTTACAACCATCATTCTTTTATTGGTCATTTATATGCCAGGTAGCAGCATCACCAAAAACAAAACAGCTGTTTCCACCTGAAAGCTCCCCCTGTCTCTTCATTTGCCTTTTGTTTCTCTCCCAACTCTGTAGATCCACACAGATGAAGACAGCTTTACTGGCAACAGGTCTTAGGGGGAGAAAAATATCAATCAGGAGGCAAGAAAGCTATTGATATATCCCTCCCAAATACAAAAATCTCAGCCAGCAATTACTATACCAACTGCCAGTTTCATATATAGTTTCCCTTTAAGCCTAAAATTACCCCACTGTAAGGGGCAGAGAAAACAAGTTCCAAGAGAATTCAGCCTTGTCTGAAACTAGCCCACATGCTATACAGCACACACGACGAGCACAGTTTCAGTACTACTATTCCTCCTCTTACGACCACCGAGACCAGGGTTTAGATCCGATGGACAGGCTACAGTTTCATATGCAAAGTTCAGTGAAGGTGAAGTGGAAAAAATAAATAATGATGAGCTCTATGTGATGGTCAATTTTGTGTGTCAAAATGATTGATGCACAGGAAACCCAGATATTTGGTCAAAGATTATCATAAGTGTGCCTGCTAGTGTATTTCCTGGATGAGATCAACATTTGAATTTTAGTGTATTTCCTGGATGAGATTAACATTTGAATTAGTATATAAATAAAACAAACTACCCTCCCTAGTGTAGACAAGCCTTATCCAGTCAGTTGAAGGTCTGAATCACATAAAAAGGCAGACCTCTGGGGGTGAGGCGGAATTCCCCCTGCCTGACTGTTTTTGAGCTGGGATATCATGTTTTCCTATCTTCACACTTAAACATGAGTCTCACTGGGTCTGAAGCCTGCAGGCCTTCAGAAGGGACCTACACCATTGACTATCCTGGGTCTCCAGCTTGGGATAATTTGATTCTCTTTCTCTGGAGAATCCTGACTAAATCTCAAAATGTTTTGAATAGGTTAGCAGATCAATAAGATTCTAATTCAGGATTAGTATTATTAGGATTATTATGATAAGTTACCACTCAAAAATATGCAAGGCAAATTTTATTATATATAAATATTTATGTATATATACATAAAGAGGTTTGTCATATGTAATTGGCTTAGATAATTTTACAGGTGGGCAAGTCCCAAGATGTGCAAGATGATTTGTAAGCTGGAGACCCAGAATAGCTGATGATTTAGTTCCAATTGAGTCTGAAGTCTAAGAACAGTGAGAGCTAATGGTATAGTTTAAATTCAAAAGCTGCCAGGCTTCAGCCCCAGGAAAAGCTGATGTTTTAGTTCCAATCTGAAGGCAGGAAAAAAAACTGTATTACAATTCAAAGGCTATCAGGTAGGAAGCATTCATTCTTACTCAGATTTGTTGTTCTAATCAGGCCTTAAACTCACAGAATGAGGTCATTCCACACTAGGGAGGGCAATCTGCTTTACTTAGTACTACCCATTTAAACATTAATCTCATCCCAACACATCCTTACAGAAACACTCAAAATAATGTTTGACCAAATATCTGGGCATCTGGTGGCCCAGTCAAAGAGACACATAAAATTAATCATCATAGCTTCTAAGCAAAATAGAGTATCATAAATTAAGTGTTCTCCCTTGTGTGAAACAACCAACAGGAATGTAGGTAGAAAACAAATTGAGCCCTATTATTGCCCCCATTTACTACTTTGAGAGAATTCCTGGGCCACAACCCAGGTACAACACCAGATATCCAATAGAAAGTATCAGGCAAGCTAATTAGCAGAAGAAAGCACCATAGTGAAAGGAAAAATTAGGTAATTGAAAATAATCTAGAACTAACACAGATGTTAGGGTTAGCAAAAAATGTATTAAAGACAGTTATTATAACAATATTCAATATGCTCTAAAAGTTTTCTGCTTTATTGACTATGCCAAGCCTTTGACTGTGTGGATCACAATAAATTGTGAAAAAATTCTTCAAGAGTTGGGAATACCAGACCACCTGACCTGCCTTCTGAGAAATCTGTGTGCAGGTCAGGAAGCAACAGTTAGAACTGGACATGGAACAACAGGCTGGTTCCGAATAGGAAAAGGAGTACATCAAGGCTGTATATTGTCNGCATCACTGACTCAATGGGCATGAGTTTGAGTAAACTCTGGAAGCTGGTAATGGACAGGGAGGCCTGGCATGCTGCAGTCCATGGGGTCGCAAAGAGTTGGACATGACTGAGCTACTGAACTGAACTGAACCGAAAACTTGAGACAGGAAGAGCATAGTCATTCCCCAAATGATCTTCTAGAGATGAAAATTATAATGTCTGAGGGGGAGAAAAATAATTGGAAGAGATTAAAATCAGATTGTACATTGCAGATGAAAAAGTTAGTGAATATAAAGAAATATAGCCATAGACATTATCTGAACTGAAACACAAAGAGAGAAAAAAAGATTTTTTAAAAAATTTAAAGAGCTTCAATGAGCTGTAAACAAATTCATATATCTTGGAGTATCAGAAGGAAGAGAAAGAGACCCTCAAAAAAGGTATTGAAGAAATATTGGCTGTAAACCCAAAATTCACAGAAGTTCAATAAACATGAAGTGTACACACACATACAAACCATGAAAATAACCACATGAAGGCACATCATAACTTAATTGCTCAAAACCAGTAGAATATCGTAGAAGCAGACAGAGAAAACAAATGCATTATACACAGAAGAACCAAAGTGAGAAAGACAACAGATTTCCTGCAAGATAAAATAAGTAGAAACAAGATGGAGGAGGAGTAGGTGGATGTGGAGTACATCTCTCTCCGTGGATACATCAGCAATACACCTTTAGACACAGAAGATCTTGCAGAACACCAGCTGAGAGTGGGCAGGAGTCTTTGACCACTGGGAAGGAATATATAGATCGACACAAATCACGGTAGGATGAAGGAAGGAGGGGGGAAAAAGGAGTTATCAGGACTGGATATGTACCTGGGGGGTGGGGGACCTGAAGCAAGGATCGGATCCCCACATCAGGGCAATTGTATGGGACAGAGGAGAAGTATTTGAGGCTGCTGGAGAGTGCAGCAGCTCATGTGTGACAGTCCGAATGGAATGAGAACCACACAATCTTTCCGACAGCCCTACATACCTTGGCTAGGATTCGAGTCCCCTGGAATGCGCGGTGGCTCGGAGCTGGACTGTGGGGATTGGAGAGCAATCCCAGGGTGAGAACTGCTGTTGACTGCAGGGAGAGAGTGGGAGGGGGACATGAGGGAGGAGATGGAGACAGGAAATACCTTGGAAGGAAAGCTGGGCAGCCATGGAGGTAAGGCAATACTGCTGAGTAACACGCAGAGGGTGGAGCCATCACTGTAGCCTCTCTTTCCCCACAGGCAAAGGCCAGCAGCTGACCAATAGACCCAAGGGAAGGTGGCCCTTTAAGTGCCTGATGCCCTAAGCAACAGAGAAAGATCAGATAAAGAGGCCCTTTGAAGCCAGGTGCCAGAGGCTAGGGGGAAAAACACAAAAAAACAAAAACCGAATAGCACCATATTTCCCGCACCGATGGCTGCTGGCTCCCCTGTGTACATGGCATTGCCAGGGTCCCCATGTCCAAGCAGCTGCACCAGCTCCACATCCGGTCCGGTCCTCACTGAGGCAGACCTAAAGCCTCCAGGGCAGTCACAGGAGCAAACTCCTATGGATGACTCACATACAGAGGTGGAAATAAAACCACAGTTGAACCCCAGGGGCAGTATGGCTAAGGATGAGGATTGAAAACTTTCCCAATAACTCTACAAGCTGCAGTTTAAATCCACATGATCAACTAGGCAGACTCTGTGTCTATAGAATATATAAAAGGGCAATGAGAGTTCCCACAAAAGAAAATGCAGTAGTTCTAGCAGCTGTGGACAGTGGAGGCAAGAACATGCAGGAGTAGGGTCAGATTAGCCTGAGCTGTCCCCATAGCAGGTCCAGAGACCAACCAACCCATTATTGGAAGACATTTTAAGGAGGTAGAGGTGGATTATCCAAGAAAAACATTTATTATTGTTTTTATATTTTGATTTGTTCTGTAATTGGTTCTGGAATTTTCTTCCCTGTTCCTGTGGTTGATTTTATTATTGATATTAGTCTATTTAAGCTTTTGAGAACTTTTTTAAAATCTCACTTTTCATTTCCTTTATATATTTCTACTTCTTTGTTGGCCTTATGCAGTTCTGTAGAATTTCTTTTTCTTTTTAAAATTTTTTCTAAAATTTATTTTTTAATTTTTTCATATATATGTGTGTGTGTGTGTGTGTGTGTGTGTGTGTGATATGTTTGTGTGTGTGCTAAGAAGCTTTAGTCATGTCTGACTCTTTGTGAGACTATGGACTGTAGCCCACCAGGCTCCTCTGCCCATGGGGTTCTCCAGGCAAGAATACTGGAGTGGGTTGCCATGCCCTCCTCCTGAGGATCTTCTCGACCCAGGGATCAAACACCCATCTCATTATGTCTGTTGCATTGGCAGGCAGGTGTTTTTCCCCTAGCAATACCTGAGAAGCCCCCCCTTTTTTTATATACTTGTATTTAACTTTGCTTTTCTATTTTTTCTTTTTCTTTTATTCATCATGTTTGTTAGTTTTGTTTGTTTGTTTGTTTTCTTTGCTTTATTTCTTGGTTGGCACTCTGCTTTGGTTTTGTTTTCAGTTTGTGTTTTACTTAGTTTTGATTTTAATTGGTCTATATCATTTTTGGTTTCCTTTGCTCACTGGGTCACTCTGTTGTACTCTCTTTCCTTTGGACTGTTTCGGTTTTATTTTTGTGTGTGTGTATGTGTGTGTGTGTGTGTGTGTGTATGGGTGTATATTCTATTGTTTAAAAATTGTTAGTCTGATTTTGTACTTACCATTGTCTAGAGGGCCATCTTTTGTTTCTTGTTTTATTTTTCTTTTGTTATTGTTTTTTTTATTTTAATCATCTTTAATGCCATAACTAACAAATTGTGGAATCCCAGGTCCCTGGCCAGAGATCGAGCCTGAGCCTTTGGACTGAAAGTGTTGAGTCCAGGACCCTAGACTGTCAGAGAACTCCTAACCCCAAGGAGTATTAATTAGTGAGAATTCTCATGAAGGCCTCCACCTATATACAAGACCTGGCATCACCCAACTGCCCACAACACCCAGTGAAGGATGCCTTGCCCAAATGATAAGCAAGACAAAATTACAAACCCGATCATCAGTACAGAGGATTCCCAAAAACACTCCAAAATATACCACCTCACACAGCCCTCCCCATTAGAGGGGGAAAAAAGCCAAACCTCACTACCTCCCACCAGAACGCAGGCACAGTTCATTCCCAATACAAAGCTTACACAAACCACAGGACCAAACTTACCTACTGAAGGCAGAAACCAAATGGAAGAAGGACTATGACCCTAAAGCCTGTGAAAATGTGACCTCAAGCACAGTAAATTAGAAAAAATCTGAAAAAGAATTCAGAGTAATTATAACAAGAGGATCCACAACCTCCAAAGTAGAATGGAGAAAATGAAAGAATTGATTACCACATTTAGCAAGGACCTAGAAGAAGTAAAGAAAAAGCAAACAGAGATGAACAACACAGCTACTGAAATTAAAAATACTCTAGAAGGAATCAATAACAGAATAACTGAGACAGAAGAATGGATAAGTAAGNATATCATTTGAGGTTAATAGCAGGTAACAATCCCAAGTGTTTGCACTTGTGTAATTTTAGAATATTTAGAAACAGATCAAGCAATCAAATTAAATTATCTCTGTCAGAACAACCAACATACAAGACTGTAGACTTTGCATTTTGGATTAGTTTTATTGAAACAATAGTTAGGGTCCTGAGATTTTGTACATGTTCAGCTTCATAAGTTGGTTTAGCAAATCAATGGCATAAATTATTAATTTTACATTTTTTCCAGTCAGCCAGTGATTCTTCATCTGTGTTTTGTTACATACAAATCCTCAATAAGTTGTTTAATTCTAGTATAAGAGGATTCTGGTATATGCATAAGATGCAAGTGACTAGCTGTTTAAACTGAGTTAAACAACTTTATTTTGTTTTATTGAAATACTCTTTTAAACAACAAAACATGTTTCCTTCTTCAAACTCACTCCAAAAAAACAATTTAACTTCTAGACTATTTAAATCCTATACCTTCAAATTATTTTATATTAAATAACATATGAAAGTATATAGCATATCATAGATAATAAATTTGAGGGCATTTCTATTATTTGATTTTCCTATTTTAATTGTTATTTCTAACTTCATCAATAACAAGCCCTCCAATTTTGTATACTCACAAGAATAAACTTAGCCCTGATTAATTTTTTCCTGTATGGTTTTTTTGTTGTCAAGTCTTACCAGTATTGTGTGGAGTATTTTTCCACTTTCCTTTTGCTCTCATTATCAAAATCACTGGTTTAACTCTAACTGCAGCAGGTGTATGCGTTTTTCCCATCCTTTCAGAATATTTAGTACAGAAGCCTTTATAACTTTCACCCTTGTATTAAGGTTCTCTAGAGAAACAGAACCAATAGGAGATTTGCTGAGAGGAATTGGCTCATACAATTATGAAAGCTGAGGTTTCTCACAAACTGGCTGTCTATAAGGTGGAGATTTAGGAAGACCAGCAATGTTAGTTCAGCTCAAGGGTGAAGATGTGAGAACCGGAAGCCTGGCATGCTGCAGTCCACAAAGTCTCAAAGAACTGGACATGACTTTGCTACTGAACAACAACATAAAGTGGAGACGCAGGAGGACGGGTGGTGTTAATTCAGTTCTAGTGTGAACACTTAAGAACCAGGGGAGCTGATGATTTAAGCCCCAGTCTGAGAGTCAGAAGAGATAGAATGGTATGTCTCAGCTTTCCTCCTTCTGCCTTTTGTTCAGGCCAGGTCTTCACTGGTGGAATGATGCCCACCCACACAGGGTGTGCAATCTGCTTTACTGAATCCATCAATTAGAATTACCCTTAAAGACAGTGTCCACAAATAGTGTTTAATCTGAGTATCTATCACCCCCTCAAATACATAAAATTAACCATCAAAAACGTATCTTCTTTTTAACTTTTTCCCCAGTTTTCCCCTTAAGTATGAATTCCAAATTTCCTCTATGATTCTGTTGAATAGCTTATTCATAATCCATAAATTGTAAATTACTATTTTTCCATGAAGCACTCCATGCCTTGAATGAAACTAGGTGTTACCAATTCTGTGTAAATATGTGTGTGTGTGTGTGTGTGTGTGTGTGTGTGTGTGTATACATACATATATATATATATATATATATATATATATATATTTGACTCATAAAGGAGATAATGAAAATGCAGATATAACAGCTGATGCTCTACAAAGATATCATCTATGCTATCAATACAATAGCTCTTGCAAAGCAGAAGTCAATATGAGGTATGATGAAACTCCAAATTGCTAAGGTTGTTATTATTACTCCTCATTTTTTGGAGATGAAGAAAATGAAGCCTTGAAACTCTGGGATATTTTCAGATGCTTTATGATGAATAAGTGGGAAAGTTAGGATTTGAACCCAAAGAGGCTAACAGAGAACCCAAGTCTTTATTCATTAGAAAATACTGGCTCTTAGAATCCACGTTAATGAGGCTTGTGATTTGTTCAAAATTTAGCAACATTATATACTGCTCAAAAGTATTTCAAAAGGTTGGTTGAGAAATTCAGAAAATGCAGGCTCATTGGAGACTGTAGTACCTATATAACCAAACTAAATTTCCTCAGGTTTAGAACAACTGGAGAAGAATCCATCACCTCGGGTTGTGAAAACACATCTGCCAATTGATCTCATTCCTAAATCTTTCTGGGAAAACAACTGCAAGGTATACTTTAAACAGCAAGTCAGTTTTTAACATGACTTTTAACTCTTTCTCACTCACATGGTAAAGTAATTGCTCAAATGCTTTGTTCACCTGTTACCATAAGAAGTGAGGTGTATAAAAAAGTGTTTAAATTTTTAAAAACACAGTATGTTTTAGCCTAAACATGCATACTCAAATTTTCCAAAATTATGTAGGAATAGAATCCTTATCTCAGTACAATATTGCTATTACTATTTCCCAGCTTTCCTCAATAGTCTGACCTTCTCTGAAAACTCAACATAAAGTTGTAGATTCTTATTTGTTTGGTAAAATTCTTCAGTGAGACACCTGAGCCTGGGTATTTGCTTTTGGGAGACTTTTAAATTGGAAACTCCCCCCCCCCCCCAAATATTGTGAAGCTATTCAGATTATCTATCTGGGATTTACTAGCTTGTCACATGTTGGAGTCTAAGTTGTTAAATTCTAAGTTGTTGAATTTTGTAATGAAAACTTGTTTGGAGCAGGAGCCACATGCCTGGCTGTCTAGGCGCCTGCAGGAGCTCACAGTGCACCGGGACTGGGATTGGCTGGGCAGAGCACACAGGCGTGGAGACCACAGACAAAGGCACCTGCTTGTTCCTGGGCTGCCGCGCTCTCAGGCTCTGCCTTGGAGGAGCAAAGAAGCTCAGAAAGATCAAGTGGATTGCTCAAGGTGACACACCAGTGTCACAACGCAGTGCTTGGCTCAGAGCTCAAGTATTTCTGACAGTTGACCCCCCCTCCTGGTCATGCATTCTTGATTTCATAGAGATTTTCGACCATGTTGTTAAACTTGGGAAAAATGGTTTAAATCCAGGGCCACAGACTCAGTATGAGCACCTCGTGAAAAGCTGAGGTGGCGTCTCCTCTATGAAGAAGGACAAGCTTGGTCTCTGATGCCACAGTGGAGAGAAGTTAATTAAAGTAGCTCATTTTCAAATGAAGCCAAGTGGACAGAAAAGACCAAGCCCTGAACCTTTAGAGTGGGAGCGCTGACTCCAAGACCCTAGACTACCAGAAAACTAACTCTAGGGAGTATCAAATAGTTAGAACTCACACAAAGGAAACCACTTGAATATAAGGCCCAGCATCACTCATCCACTAGTAGCACCCTGTGCAGGACACCTCATTTAAACAACAAAGAAAACAAAATTACAAACCCAGTCATCAGCAGACAGGATTACCACCTCACTCAGCCTTGCCCATCAGAGGAAAAACAAACAAACAAAAACTCAGCACAAATCTCTCCTTATACTAAGCTTACACAAACCACTGGACCAACCTTAAGAGGGCAGAAACCAAAAGGAAGAAAGAATTCAACCTTGAAGCCTGGGAAAAGGAGACCTCAAACAGAATAAGTTAAAACAAAATATGAAAAGGCAGAGAAATACTACACAAATGAAGGAACAAACTAGAAATCAGAAGCCAAAAAAAAAAAAAAAGNGAAATAAACCCATGCACCTATGGGTACCTTATTTTTTGACAAAGGAGGCAAGAATATACAATGGGGCAAAGACAGGCTCTCCAGTAAATGGTGCTGGGAAAACTAGATAGCTACATGTAAAAGAATGAAATTAGAATACTTCCTAACACCATACACAAAGATAATGGATTAAATGGATTAAAGACCTAAAAATGTAAGACCAGAAACTATAAAACTCTTAGAGGAAAACATAGGCAGAACACTCGATGATGTAAATCAAAGCAGATCCTCTATGACCCACCTCCTAGAGTAATGGAAATAAAAATAAAAGTAAACAAATGGGACCTGATTAAACTTAAAAGCTTTTGCACAGCAAAGGAAAGTATAAGCAAGGTGAAAGATAACCCTCAGAGCTGGAGAAAATAATAGCAAATGAAAAAATTGACAAAGGATTAATTTCCAAAATATATAAGCAGCTCATACAACTCAATACCAGAAAAACACACAACCCAATCAAAAAGTGGGAAAAAGATCTAAACAGAAATTTTTCCAAAGAAGACATACAGATGGCTAACAAACACATGAAAAGATGCTCAACAACACTCACTATTAGAGAAATACAAATCAAAACTCTAATGAGATATCACTTCACACTGGTCAGAAAGGCCATTATCAAGAAGTCTACAAACAATAAATGCTGGAGAGAGTGTGGAGAAAAGGGAATGCTCTTGCACTGTTGGTGAGAATGTAAATTGATACAGCCACTATGGAAGATGGTATGGAGATTCCTTAAAAAACTAGAAATAAAACCACCATATGACCCAGCCGTCCCATTCCTAGGCGTATACCCTGAGAAAACCAAAATTGAAAGAGACCCATGTATCCCATTTTTCATTGCAGCACTATTCACAATAGCTAAAACATGGAAGTAACCTAGATGGCCGTCGACCTATTATACAGAGTGAAGTAAGTCAGAAAGAGAAAGATAAATGTCATATTCTAACACATATATACTGAATCTAGAAAAATGATACTGAAGAATTTATTTACAGGGCAACAATAGAGAAACAGACATAGAGAATAGACTTATGGACAATGGGGAGAGGGGAGGAGAGGGTGAGATGTATGGAAAGAGTAACATGGAAACTTACATCACCATATATAAAATAGATCGCCAATGGGAACTTGTCGTATGGCTCAGGAAACTCAAATAGGGGCTCCGTATCAATCTGGAGGGGTGGGATGGGTAAGGAGGGAGGTTCAAAAGGGAGGGGATGTATATATACCTATGGCTGATTCTGGAGAAGGAAATGGCAACCCACTCCAGTATCCTTGCCTGGACAATCTCATGGATAGAGGAGCCTAGTAGGCTGCAGTCCATGGGGTTGCAAAGAGTTGGGCACGACTGATCGACTAACACTTAGACTGCTGACTCATGTTGAGGTTTGACAGAAAACAACAAAATTCTGTAAAGAAATTATCCTTTAATAAAAAGTAAATTAAAAAAAAGTTGTTAAAAATACTCCCTCATTCCTTAACAGACTTTATTTTCTACAGTAATTTTATTTTTAAAGAATTTTAGATTGATAGCAAAATTGAAAGGAAGTTAGAGATTTTCCGCATATCTCTTGTACCTGCATATCCAAAGACTTCTTATCATCAGTAACTCATGTCCTCTCTATTTTATCAGTCTTGTTAGATATTTATCAATTTTGTTGATTTTTTTAAAGAAAGATCCAACTTTTTCTTTTCTATTAGTTTTCTTAATATTTCACTGTTTTTCATTTCATGGATTTCAAATCTGTTGTTTTACATGCCTACTGTGTGTTACTTTTTTTCTTAAATAAAATATCGTGCATTTGATTTTCTTCATCCTCCCCCTACAGATCATTTATCTGGCTCGAAATGCCAAGGATGTTGCTGTCTCATTTTACCACTTTGACTTAATGAATAATTTGCAGCCTTTTCCTGGAACCTGGGGAGAATATCTAGAGAAATTCTTGACTGGAAATGGTAGGACGGCCTTAGCTAAAAATTAATGTCATTAAAAAATATTTTTAATAATATTAACCATTACAAGTATGAATTTCCCTTTCAAAACACTTCTTTTTCCAAATCAGTAACAAGAATATTCAAAAATCATTTCAAATTAAATCAAATACATTTAATATTTCACTATGACATTCAATATATAACCTGGTATTAAACATCAGCTTAATGAAAATATTCTCAAACCTCTTTTCAGTCACTAAAACCCATTCTCAGTTCCTACTCGCAACAGAAATTTATTTGCCCAAATCATTAGTTAGATCTTTTATACACACATTTATAGTAATTAGATAAATAAGTGATATGAGTACTTCATAAAAGAATAGTTTTCTTCTGCATGTGGCCAAGTATAACCTATTGGAGGTCAATGTATTTCCATTTGAAATGTTTCTTTTGTAATTAATATATTTAAAAATCTGAAATTTGTGCATCCATAAGTAGCTGATTATATATACTTGTTCACATAGACTTTATAGTTTCAGTTCCTTGATTACTAAATTCCACAAAATATTTGTATAATTTGACTTATTTTTCACAAACAAATTTTTAATTTGATAAATGTTTATGGAAATAAGCTGTTTCTCTGGTTTTAGTGGCCTATGGTTCCTGGTTTAATCATGTTAAAAGTTGGTGGAAGAAAAAGGAAGAACACCCAATACTTTTCTTATTCTATGAAGATATGAAAGAGGTAAATAGTAGAAATACATTGTAGATAATTCCTCAACTACATCCTGGAGCAAAAGGATTAATAGTTTTTTCAATTAATCTATGGAGTTCAAATGCTATAACTGCTTTGTCTATTTTCCATGTCTGTTTACCCAGATCTTGCTAAGATCTTCAATGAATCTGTGAAATCAGTGACATTTTTATCCTCTTATCCTTTTTAATCACTGTGTTTCTCTTGAGCACCTTGCTTTTCAAATTTGTCTCCTTCATTTAATGGGTTATCATTCTGTTTGTCATGGTTTTCCTGTGAATCTCTATCATTTAGTCATCTTTTTTTTAAACTCTTTGTTATGGATTGATGATCATATCTATGCCCACTGTTGCCAAAACCATGTGCTAATTACCCACCAAAAACTCCATTTTAACTTCTAACCTGAATTCAGATCCTTGTTTTTCTTAAAATGACCCTCAAATTTAACATACTGAAAATTAAACTCATCTTGCTTCTCTCTCTCTCCAATAGGTAATCCTTTTCTTTTATTCTGTCTTTTGGTTAATGATGTTTGGTTGTTCATTCAGTGTTGAAAGTTTGAAAGTAAATTGTCCTCATTGACTTTCACGCAGTGAATATGGTTCCATTTTCTCCTGAACATCCCATTGGTTCACATGCCCTACCTATTATATCTTAAGTGTGCTCCTCTCTTTTACATTCTTCCTGCTAGTTCAGGTATTCATAAAGATTTGTATAGTCTCCCACATGAACTAGTATTAGCCTAAAGACTATTGCAAAGTTCCAGGCCTATCCTCAGGCTATTTTATTTCATTAGGAAATATACACATGCACACACACACACACACACACACGTGGAAACCAAGTTTATCTAGTTGTAAAAGCCTGAACATGCAAATAAGGATATCTTGTAGAATTTCAGATTCTTGGTGGAAGGCATATCTATCTTTCTTGTAACTGCATCCACAGTACTTACAACGCCTACCACGTATATAGGTGCTCATGGCCACTTATTGTATGCATAAGTGATTACTTGAATGAATGAATGAGCAGTGGTTGCAAACATTTGTGTGTGTATGTGTTACTTGCTTAGTCATGTCAACTCTCTGCAACCCCATGGCCTGTAGGCCACCAGGCCCCTCTGTCCACGGGATTCTCCAGGTAAGAACACTGGAGTGGGTTGCCATTTCTTTCTCCAAAAAGAACTATAGGGAGAAAGAAAGTGAAGTCACTTAGTCGTGTCTGACACTTTGCGACCCCATGGACTGCAGCCTACCATCCATGGAATTTTCCAGGCAAGAGTACTGGAGTGGGTTGCCATTTCCTTCTCCTTACAAACATCTGAGTAACATCAATAAAGAACCTGCCTGCAATGCGGGAGACTCTGGTTTAGTCCTTGGATTGGGAAGATCCCCTGGAGAAGGGAATGGCAACGCACCCCGGTATTCTTGCCTGGAAAATTGCACGGACAGAGGAGACTGGTGGGCTACAGTCCATGGGGTCGCAAAGAGTTGGACAGGACTGAGTGAGGAACACTTTCACTTTTTTGTTTTGATCCTACTCAGCACAGAAACCTTACCTTATGTAAAATCTCTCTTGTTGCATGTATTTCTGAGAAACTCTCATGGTATTTCTCATGTCTTATCAGTAAGAGTCCTTTTCTACTCTGCCCAGGCTCCCACTCTCTATCACACTTACTTGTAGCTCATAGAGAATCTGTGATCTAAACATTATGATTGCCACTTTATGACAATTTGCTGGCAACAAAATAGACAGCTCTAAAATTAGAGTGGTTTTAGGAAACCGCTTTTAAAAAGTGGTGCTCTCTGTTGAGTGTTTGATTAATCAGAATTAAGTTATAAGTTCTTCATAAGACAGAAAACTGTGCTTCTGTGCCAACTATTTCTTTTTACTTTCTGGAGACCAAAGTAAAACTTATTCACTTTATGAAGAAAGCAAATTTAACTTCTGGATGTAGTTCTTTTTCTCCATAGAATAAACAAAATAATACATTTCCTAGGCTGAGCTGATATCCAAATTCTGAGTCAGACATCATGCTGTTCCTCACATGACATGCTTGTGTAAAATATTTCTCTCCTTATTCATTGAAAATGCCTTTTTCAAATCAATTTATGCATATTGATTTACAGGCTGATCTAATCAGTTCTATAAGAATATCTGGATATTTTGAATCCCACTCAAACTTACTATACATTAAACTTATTAGACAATATTTTTTCCTATCATAGTTATATTTTAGACAATGTTATAGAAATGGTTTTCATATAAAAACAATAATAGGACAAAATTATAAGTATATATCAAAAATAAGATTCAGAGAGAAGCCTAGTAATTTACATCAGGTTTATGAATGCATCAATTCTCAAACTCTCAATCAATGAGGTGAAAAAGAAGTAGAACCCAGCACTCTCTGCTTTAGCTTCTACTTGTCTATAAATTAGCATCATCACTGATACTTTGGCAGTGGCCAAATTATTCTTCAAACACTATAAATATGTAACAGAAATTGCTCTATGTTTTTTTGCCTGTCCATACATTTTTTCTGTTTTCACTACTAACTTTTCTCTTAGTCTTTTCTCCACTATCATCATTTCTGACATTTAAGTCATGTTAACCCCTGGCACTCCATTAATAGCCATCTCAGTGTTCTCTCATCAAGATCTGATACATAAAATATTGTCAGAACTTCCATTATAGGAAACTCTTTACCAAAACATACACATGCAAACACATTCAACACACATACACACACACTCAACACACACAGAGTTAATAAGACACATTATTAAAGAGTTGTGCCCCTACTCCATAACAGATACAATTCAAATCCTTCAGCCGGACATCCAATGATGTTCTAAATTTTATCCCAATTCATCTTTCCTGCCTCATAGCTTCTCTCACTCCTATGAACAACTCAGCCCTAACTCCAACCACTTTTCTTTTTTCTCACTTGAACACAGTGAGTTGATGCTTCCAAGAGTTATATTTTCTTTACTGGAAATTTATTCTCTAACTGCTCAGGAGACTGCATCTTGGTAAACTCTGACACATCTTTCTAAATTAAGCTTAGATGTTAATCCCTTCAAAATCTTTCTAGACATATCTATACAGATTTTTGCTTAGCTCCCTAAAAAATTACAGATGTTGTTAATGCCATTAGAATTTGAAAAATTATTTATTTCTCAGATTTTTTTCTTCTTATTCTCAATGACTAATGAGTAATTTGGGTCTTGCTATCTTTACAACTTCACTGGAATTTGTTTTTAATAATTTACATCCAAGTAAGATTTCATCAGTGTTTATAACTTTAAAAAATATCTGCAGTTTCCCCTGAATTTATTATAGTATTTTTATTAAATATTATTATTATAAACAAGAAACCAATTTGGAGGAATAACAGAAAAATAAAGTCTGAATAAAGAGACTGGGTCCCTAAAACATTCAGTTTTCAAATTTAACTGCAAATTGAGCTTAAAATTTTTGCTACAATCTGTTTTACTAAATGGTATTAATAATTATGTTAAAGTTTATTGTTATTGTACTTTGAATGCAAAATAAGACTTAGAATGAGCAAATATTTCCACTCTACCTTTACTAAACATAAATTATTGATCTTTTTTTTCATTTTCATGATTTTTTTCACACTATTTTAATGATTTATTGTTTACCATTTTCTTGGGTGTATCTCTACCCTGTTGATAGAATCCAAAGCAAGAAATCAAGAAGGTTGTTCAATTTCTAGAGAAAAACCTGGATGATGAGATCTTGGATAAGATAATCCATCACACATCGTTTGAAATGATGAAGTTCTGAATCATGTTAATGGTAAACATGGAATCTAAAGTTAACTTAAGATGACAATAGAGAAATATGACATTCACTGTCAAAATACAGCTCTATTTCAATAAGTCAAGTATTATAAATTGTGGGTTATCATATGTGGTTTGGGTCAAAAATGTGTTATTATCTTAAATGTGAGAATTTGTCCACCTAGTCATGTCACCCTGTCTTTTCAATATTCTTTACTGAACTGGAGATAAAGATAAAATTGCAGTTGGTGTGCCTGAAAGTAAACATAACCTGGGATATGAACATGTGGATTAAGACCCTCAATTCTGAAAGTATTATATGATTACAGATTTTTCTAACACATTTTTCTCTGTACCTTAGCACACCTAGTGTTTTCAAATTAAGTGTTTTTTTTTTAATTTTCAAAACAGTACTTAAAAATTAAGGTCTAGTATAAGGTCAAGGCTAATTTTTCATTGTAAATGGTGCATTACAAGTTTGAACAAAGAAGACTGATACAACACAACACACAACAACACACACACACATGTTTTCCTGGTGGAAGAAACAGAGAAAAAAAAAAAAACCTTATTAATTAAACAGCAAATTTTCATTATACCAGATCATTGAATGTAACTTCCAAGAGAGCTTTTTCCCAGTCATGAAAATTGATGCCATTGGATGATATCTCATTAGGGTATACAAATAACCTCAGTATCTGGATTCCATGGTTTCTAAAACTTCAAAGAGAGTACATAAGAAGGACACTCTTTCCACCCCCCGGGAGTCGTGAAGGACACAACTTTTGTGGTCAAATTGCTCTGGGGTTTATCCAGTCTGTGCCATTCCCTGAATCTTTGACGTTGCATACACTAATAAATCTGCCAAAGTTCTGGTTACATCACTGATAAAATGGAGAAAAGAATAGCATCTGAAGCACAAGCTTTGGGGGAGGATATTCATAGAAGATATGTAAGCTTGCATTGTATTTTTTTCTGACCAAAAATTATTTACACAAAAGTAGGAAGTCATATTATCTTGCAGTTTAGTATGTTCTTATCTAACATAACATCTATTTGTTTCTTTATTCATGCATTCAATAACACTTTAAAGATATCTTTTATTTGTTAGTTAATATTTAAGAAAAGGTCTTCATGAACAACTATATGCAGATCATATTCTCTAGAATGTAAATAGCACATATATCCTCAAGAAGCTCATACTGTAATGCAAGAGAATGGATACTGGAAAATTCTCAGAAGTGAAGTATGAACAAAGGGCTAAGAACAGTTTTGAAGGATTCCACTCTGGATAATCAAGGTCATAGTTTGGTCACACAATATTAATGATGATAGGGAGATGATAAAGTCCAATGTTTATGCTTATGTCCCAAACTGCAACAAAACAGAAAATCTTGGGATTTGGCCAGAATTAATTTTATCAAACATTTTTTATGCTTCCTCACTCTCGTGAAGCAAATGTGTTTGTGTATATAATATTTATACTCAGAAGATTATAGAAGATTATTAGAATGCTTTATATATGACTCTTTATTGTTTAAATCTACACTTCCTCTTTTCAATGACATCTTTAGAGGTGTACTATCCCAAATATGAACCACCCTCACATACATTCCAAAGAACTATGAACACCTGGTGAAAATAGAATAAAGTATAATAACCAGGGAAACAATCTTGTCTATGGGGATGTCTCTTGTTAAAAATGATTTAAAATCTTCATGAAGTCATCATGGTTTAATAAGACTTGCAGTTCAATATGATTGCATTTATTTATTTTTAAATTTTACTTATTTTTGGTTGCACTGGGTCCTCATTGCTGCACATGGGCTTTTTCCAGTTTTGGCAAATGGCGGCCTCTCTCCAGTTGTGCGGTACGGGCTTCTCTTTGTGGTGCCTCCTCTGTGCAGATGAGAGGCTCTAGGGCATGTGGGCTCAGTAGCTGTGGCATCCAGGCTCAGTAGTTGCAGCTCATGGGCTCTAGAGCATGAACTCAGTAGTGGTGGTGCATGGGCTTGGTTGCCCCATGGCATGTGGGATCTTCCTGGATCAGGGACAGAACCCATGTCCCCTTAATTTGCAGGCAGATTCTTAACCACTGGACCACCAGGGAAGTTCAATTTAATGTTAAATAAATTGCAAAAGTAATGTTTTCCTCCAAACACATCAGCAGTACATTAAAAATTTATTTCTCAAATAAATAGTTTTAAGCATCCAAGAATAAAAGATTAAATGGAAATATATGTCCCAACAGTTTCACTTCTATAAAAATTATTCAGTGATTCTATATGTTTGATTTTAATGCTATTCTTCTCCTCTAAAATTAAAATAAGATGTATCTAGTGAGTTCAGGGAACACAAGAATCATCCAAATATCCTAACACCTGCATTTATTATTTCTGGGAAATTATCAACTTTCTGTTTCACAGTTTGATTGTACTCATGACCAGTTCTTTTTACAGTTTCCAAAAGCAACCCATGAAAGATTGTAAAATATTTCCTGATCATTGATTCAGTGACTAGTGGTAACCCCATCATCTGGGACAATTAGAAACACTAAAATAATCTCTTCAGGAAATTATTGTACAGCTGCAAATTTAGACAAGAAAATTAACCCTTTGTATAATGTTTCTTTAAACCGTTTAATTATGAACATGTCAAAGTGTTAGTCACTCAATTGTGTTCAACTCTTTGTGACTACATGGACTGTAGTCCACCTCTGTTCATGAAATTCTCCAGGCAAGAATACTGGAGTGGGTAGCCATTCCCACTCCAGGGGATCTTCCTGACCCAGGGATGAAACCTGGGTCTCCTGCATTGCAGGCAGATTGTTTATCATCTGAGCACCAGAGAGGACTATTGTTTATTTATATATAGATGGAGGTAATTACCAATAAAAGAAGAAATGAATTTTAAGGTATTCAAATACAAGGAAAGGCTTCCTTTAAACTCTTTCAGTCTTTTCTTTTGGTATACAATGGCTTTTTCTTCATAAAGAAAATATTTTACTCATTCAGGTGTTTTCTTATTTGTAATTTTTAGGGATTGCAGGTGACTGGAAGAATTATTTCACAGTGGCCCAAAATGAGAAATTTGATACCATTTATAAGAAGGAAATGTCTGAGACTGAACTTCAGTTCCGTACAGAGATTTAAGGAACCTAAATTGAAAATCTGAAGAAAAAAGTTTGATCTGCAGTTTGGTGAAATAAGGACAGCTAGGATTTAATTTGGGCAATTGAATGGTTTTATAAAGGAAAAAAAATGTGCTTCTAAGCTTTGATTTTTCATTGTGGTTAATCAGGTCCTCACTCACTCTGACAGAGTCCCTAAAACAAGAACAAACTGTTACCTTTTCATAAACTCTTCCTGCCTTTTCCTTGTGGTTTAAAATTAAGTTCTACTCCCTACTAACATGGCTCAAGAAATGCTGCTTTAACACTGGTACTATGTTTCCTAGCTCTGCCCCAATTTCCCTTTCCTGAAAATTTGACCCAGGACACTTTGTCTGGGTCTGTCTTCGGGATTTCAAGTTGTTCCGTGAGTCATAGCTCATCCGGCCTTGCCTCTCTTGCAGTGATATGATTCATCTCTCAGATAGTATGGTTCAGGTTTTGGAAATGTTGTTTCCATACCTAATTTCTGTTTATCCAAATTTCTAAATTCTGAGTATGTAATTTTCAAGTCTCCAAAGATGAAAGATCATCATTAGTCTCCCTACGGCTATTCCTTGGGAATAGGAGCTCTGCCCTGAGCANCAAAAGTGTATACTAAGGTTCCCTTTACTCCTCGTATTCATCAAAACTTGTTATTTCTAGACTTTTAAATGATAGCCTTTCTGACAAGTGTGGGATATCTTCCTGTGTTTTTTGTTTGTGTCTCTCTGATGATTAGCAATGTTGAACTTAAAAAAAAAAAATCTTTTTATTATTTATTTATTTATTATTTTTTAAAATTTTGGCTGCTCTGGGTTTTAAATCTTGATTATTGTACTTGGTTGTGCTTTTTGTTACAGCATACAGACAACATACAACTTTCTCTAGTTGTGGTGAATAACTTGCACTAGAAAGCAGATTCTTTGCCCCTGGACTACCAAGGACATACTTGTTGAGATTTTTCTTTTCCTTTTCCTGTTGGAACTCAATATATCTTTTTTGGAAAAATATCTAATCAGGTCTTCTGCCATTTTTGATTCAGTTCTTCTTCTTTTTTTTTTGATACTGAGTTGTATCTGTGTGTATATTTTGGATATTAATCCCTTATTGGTCATATAATTTGGAAATGTTTTCTCCCATCATCCCGGTAGGTTGTCTTTTCATTTTATCTATGCTTTCCTTTGCTGTACAAAATTTTTTAAGTTTAATTAGGTCCCATTTATTTATTTTTGTTTCTTTTGCCTTAGGAGACAGAACCAAACATATCAGTATATATATAACTTCTATGGATTCTGTCAGTGTTTTGCCTGTATTTTCTTAGAGTTTTATGGCTTCAGGTCTTACATTTAAGTCTTTGGAAGAAAATCACAATCTGTAGCTCACACTTAATAAGCAGGAAGTAACACTAAGTATCTGCAGAAATTAACATCTATCTATGTGAGGGGTTTTTAAATTCTCAATCACTTATTAGCTTAATGATTTATTCAAATAATTAAGGACTCCTATTATACCTTTGGTTATGTCACTAATACTATATTTCCTTGCTCAAATTGTTACAGTTTGTTTGTTGGGAGCTCTTTTAGTTGGTTTCAGAATACTTTTTGACATATTCCCATTATTGTAGAGTTTTTTTATTCATTTAATTGTTTTGAGCATTTTATTAATGTCTGGCACTGAGAAATGCTCCAGGCTCATCTTGTATATTCTGTATTAGTTTGTAGAATCAGTCATTTCTCTAAGAAGCTCCTTTTTTGGAGAATTAATAAAAATCAAGCTTTTGGTTCTAGATGTGTGTATTATTTCTCTGTTGTTATTGATCCTAAACCCTCTCAGCTAACAGCTAATCAAACAAGAGTTTGATGTGTGTATACCGTGTATATTTATAAATGTTTCTATAGGTAGCTATCTGTATCATTATTAAGTAACATAGAGTTCACACTGATGTCTCCAACAGTAATCCTTTAGGAATCCTTTAGGGATCATACTTATTATTATGTATTATATTTTATTGCAATTTTTATTGATCATTTATTTTAAAAAAATTATATTGAAGTATAGCTGATTATGGAGAAAGAAATGGCAACCCACTCCAGTATTCTTGCCTGGGAAATTCCATTAACAGAGGAGTCTGGCAGGCTCCAGTCCATGGGAGCCACAAGGAGTTGGACATGACTGAGTGACTAAGCGGGAGCAATAGCATAGTTGATTCACAAAGTTGTATTAGTTTCAGGCGTACAGCAAATTGAATCAGTTATACATATATATGTATCCTTTTAAAAATTCTTTTTCCATTTAGGTTATTATAGAAAACTGAGTAGAATTCCTTATACTATACAGTAAATCCTTGTTGGTTATATATTTTAAGTTTATCAGTGTGTACATTTATTAAGTGTCAGGCAATCTTATAGAAGTATTAATATACTCATTTTGAGGGGAAGACACTGAAACTTTGAACTAAAATTCTAAGCTATGTTTGCTTGACTCTAAATGTCATTCTTAATCACTATATGATACTACATAGAATTGCATAAAAATAATCTTCAGATATTACATACTTAACTACTTCTCAAAATATTCTCATAAATATAATTAGATAATGATGCCCAAGCTGACAATATAAAGGCTCCATGCTTCATCCAGTCTCAGAATCCAGCCGTTGAAGGGACACTGACTGCAAACCTATAAGGTTAGATTTGTGAATGTTTTTCCTCTATAAGCTATGTCATAATTGGTACTTGTTTGTTGTTTAAATAAAGATTCAGTAGCTTTTTTCAAGCTCATTTAGCTTAATGTACATTTCAAATAATAAAATTAAAAACAATGTCATGGGTAAAATGCATACAGTCTAAATAAATGAGTAGTAGGTTTTGTAATGCTGCCTACTCATAAGGTGAGGTCTGACTGCGCTCTGTTCTGTTCTTCCTTACACAGAAAGGAAGAGGACAAGCTGTCATAAATCTTATGGAGAAACTTCCCGTGCAACTTGAATGAACATGAGAGGAAAAGGAGCAGAAAGAACAAAATATTTCCTCACAGCTTGTATCTTCTGTACCTCCTCCCTTCTGCTGCTGCTAGTGGTACAAGCACCAAAATTCCTGAACTTATTCGAATGATTTGTAAAGAAAGGAAAGTTCTCAGGGTTCTCCCTGGAGATTTTGATAAGATAGACTGGACAAGGCCCCAGATTATGCAGTCTTCATAAATATCAAAGGAGATTTAATGGCTGTATTATCTATTATATTTTCATGTGATAAAGATTAGCTAGCTTTCTTTTTCAAGTAAGATAAGTTAGATGGCTAGGTATATAGGTAATGACATTTCTTTTGTACTGATCAAATTCATACTTTAAAATGCAAAAAAATAAATAAAACTTAAACTCAGGGGTAAAATATAATTTGAAAAGAGGAAGGAAGTTAATCGAATTGTACAACTCAGCACTGGGCCTTTAGCCAAATGTGCACTGTATTTCAAAATAAAAGAAATGGATAACTTTTCAAGTGCAGTTTGCTCAGTGTGTGAACTATTCACTAATGTACACAATTGAGGTAGATTTAGTTTCACTGAGAACAGTTTTGCTTATTTCCTGGATAATTATTCCTTCCATTGTGTAAGATCTAAATTTCTAAAAGATTAGTATGTGTGAAAAATGTACTCTCATTGTTTGGCCTGAATTGTTCTTATTGGCACACTTGGGGTTCTTAGGCTTAAAGCACATTGGGCCTCATTAGGAAAGTAAACCAGGAAAAATTAAAAAAATATATAGCAACTAGATAAAAAGTAAAATCTTTTCATAGCAGCCTCTTGGTCAAGGCATAGTATTTGAGTGGTCCAAAAAACCTATCACAATATCTGAATTTTCCACCATTATTGCAGTTTAACTATTCTGTATAACAGACACACAGATACATTAAGTATTGAGATAAGTCTTCAAAGTAAACATATCTGGGTAACCACATCTGTATCCCAAGACACAGAATAATATCAATGCAAAAGCTCTCCTCTCCCATGTACTCTCTTACCATCAATATTTCCCACAATGAAAACCACAATTCTTTAAAATTAAAGATTTGATTTCTGTTTTTTGATATTCCAATTAATGGAATGATGCAGATGGAGTCGTTAACTTTCTTTTTTACTCAACATTATTATTGGGAGATTTACCCATGTTGCATCAGTTCAGGTTTTTATCTCTATATAGTGTTCCCTAGTGGAAATATACCAACATTTATTTGCTGTTGATGGGCATTTGAAGAGTTTCTTGTTTGGTTTTTAACAAATATTTCTGCTATGAACAAGCTTGGTCATATTTTTATTAAGTATAAATAAATATTTTCAATGCATTTTCCTTGAGTTCAACCTAAGGATGAAATTGCTAGAAAATCTTTTGTACTGATCAAATTCATACTTTAAAATGCAAAAAAATAAATAAAACTTAAACTCAGGGGTAAAATATAATTTGAAAAGAGGAAGGAAGTTAATCGAATTGTACAACTCAGCACTGGGCCTTTAGCCAAATGTGCACTGTATTTCAAAATAAAAGAAATGGATAACTTTTCAAGTGCAGTTTGCTCAGTGTGTGAACTATTCACTAATGTACACAATTGAGGTAGATTTAGTTTCACTGAGAACAGTTTTGCTTATTTCCTGGATAATTATTCCTTCCATTGTGTAAGATCTAAATTTCTAAAAGATTAGTATGTGTGAAAAATGTACTCTCATTGTTTGGCCTGAATTGTTCTTATTGGCACACTTGGGGTTCTTAGGCTTAAAGCACATTGGGCCTCATTAGGAAAGTAAACCAGGAAAAATTAAAAAAATATATAGCAACTAGATAAAAAGTAAAATCTTTTCATAGCAGCCTCTTGGTCAAGGCATAGTATTTGAGTGGTCCAAAAAACCTATCACAATATCTGAATTTTCCACCATTATTGCAGTTTAACTATTCTGTATAACAGACACACAGATACATTAAGTATTGAGATAAGTCTTCAAAGTAAACAT